TACACGGAGAAAATTTTATATAAAAAATTACTATGTACGGTAGTAGCCGCGGACCATGAAGGAATTATAAAAATTTTTACTATGTTTTTCACATGTGAAACATAGTAAAAATTTTCGGTCCGCGACTTCATGGTCCGCGGTTAATACCGTACATAGTAATTTTTTATATAAAATTTTCTCCGTGCATATATTACATATTGCATTGCTTTTTAATAAGTATTTCGTAAAATATTTAAGGAAATTTTTACCAGAAGAATTAAATGTTTTCGCAAAATTTTTTGATCATTTTTGATAGAAGTAATTTTTAATTGCGTTTTCAAATAAAAAAATTAATATCGTAATATTTTTCCATTGAATTTTCAGCATTTTCTATACATGATATATAGGCAGGTATTAGTGGTCTGCTTGCTGGTCTCGCAAAGTCATGAAGAAAGCATCCACCAATAATTCATCGGCAAAATTCGTTGAGCGGTATTTAATATAAGAAAAATATGAAAAGAAAAGGATCGAATAGAGAGCGAATGGCGAATCTAATATCGGGAATTGCATTTGCCTTCAATTGCACTCGCCTGTCTGATGGCATGGTGGATGCAGAGAAATGGAGGGAACGGTGATAAAGGCGAAGAAAAAAAAAAAAAAGATAAAAAGTCACCTCCTTTGCGCAAATAGTTTTTTCGTTGGAAAATGTGCTGACGCTTTTGATCCAGGAACAAATCTGCTCACCAACGTTTACTTTGAATCCATACGTCGCGGTAAGGAATTGGTTTATCGAACGTGTTTTATCACACTTGCGCTTTTTAAGAGAATGACGTAGATACATTGTTCATTTTGAAAATGTTATGTTTAAGTAAAAATTGACAAGTAAATTATTTCTTCATTTATCATTCAATTGAAAATACTTCATCTTCTGATGATCATCTTGTTAAATTGCTAATCCGGAGTTTGTTAGAGAAATATATAGAATGTGTCAACTAGAGTACCTAGTTTTAATTTCTTAATAAAATAGAAATTATTAAAAAAAATTTTTTAACTTTGATCGCATTCGGGAGAGTACGATTGTATTAACAAACTATGATTATTCTCGAAGAAAAGTTTTGCGTGTTTTACGTGTATCCTCGGTGTTACACGTTAGTTGCAAAGGGAATTGTAAACTTAAAGATTCTTGCTCTGCATTACGAAATAGTTTTAAAATTTTAAAAACGTAAAATGTTCTTTCATCCTTTAATTATAATTCAAGTGTATATATGTTTCAAGACACATTCAACATGTAAGGTGAGAAAGATCTCTCTTCATTCAGTATTCAACCAATTTTCTTCTCGCCTAAACATTTCTGAGAGTTCGTAGCCCGATAAGCCGACCACAAGACTTTTTAAGTCTGTAGCCGATGGCAATGCGATTTCCTGGTTTTGTTTGCTATAAGAAAAGCTGTGCGTCTGAAAACTCCGCCAGGTGCTTGCTCACAAGTTTTCGTCACTCTCGCAACCTTGCTTTCACAACTTTCAACGAGCAGCTGTGAGACTGTAAGATTTTCGCAGATATCCCATGGGCGTTTTGCAATATTGTTATACTTTTATACCTGCGAATCATCGCAGGTCATTATAGAAAAGCCTTATTGAGAATTTATATCCATATTTTTTACATTAAACTGACCACATGTAGAACTGATCACTGTCATGAATCGCGCTTTTGCTTATAGAAACAATGTATCTTTCTTCGTATGTTATAATTATAAAGAGAGTCTTATTTCACTGCAAATCGTTTACTAATATCGAATAATTTATGGTTTGCTGCAGTTTTAAATGAAATTGAGTAATAAGTGAATTATTAAAATTCGGTATTTCGCATTTATATCAAAACAGTGTATCTTGCTGAAGCAGAATATTTTTCTATTTAAATTACACATCAGCGCGACAATATGCAACTGACAGGAGAATTTTATTAAGCTTTCTCAGTTGTTTGAACTGCATTGCATATAGTTATAATTTCATTTAATTTTTCGTATAATTTATGCAATTAAATGTATTTTCTGGTTGAACAAAACTTTAGTTAAATGTACTGCGTAAGAAAAGCGAATACTCTACGTACTTTTTTTTTAACAAAATAGTGAAAAATCGTATTCAAATTAACTGGTTCTTTTTCATATTATTTTAGCTTAATTAATGTATACAAAAAAATATACTTTAAAAAGATCTTTTATCATGATAAATGTGATACAAAATTATGTGACCTACATTTTTCATACGTAGAATTAGCTTTATCTGATGGGAAAAATTAAGTTACTTTATGTAAAAAATAACGGTTATCTCATATAAAATTTCATAGCAAAATTGAAATATGTTCTGCCAGTTTTCCGATGTAAATTCGATAATAAAGTGGCTGATAACTGATACGCAATTCTGCTCGCGCAGGAATTTAAGATGTAAATCACTTTTCTGCCCCCATCAAATTCCGAGCACTCTCTCTTTATATGAGATTTTTCAAAGCGTGAAGTCTGCACTCACATGGGTCTTTGCGTGAATTCAAAGGATTTAAGCGCAATCTATTCCGAAGCCATCTCTCAAAGCGAATTCGATATAGCGTTTATAGATTGTCAAAATTGCGTTATTGTGCGGTAAAATATGGGGATGTGCAACATGATTGCTTTTTCAATCCATCAGATTGAAAGTTTCTTATGATTAATTCTATGAAAAAGTATGCCAGAAAGTACTTGTGTAAGAACAACATTAAGACAAAATCTTTCTTTTAAGTACACTTACTTCGTACAAACTAAAACGGCTATTTGTCATGTCTGAATTCTGTGTTCTGAGAACGTTTAATAGTACATGTACGTTTGCGAGTGCAATGCACTTCACTTTCCCGTATGTAATATGCATATTTGAATTAGTTTAACTCTCGGACAGTGCGGACACCGCTATTCCATTCCGTCATTCCGTTAGTCTGTAGTAAAATTTCGTTTTTATGCTCGAAAGACAGAAAGAAGTAGAAATGGATGTAGAAAATATAATAATGTTCAGTCTCGAAATGTCAATAAAACGAATGCGACTGTGGCATAAATAGTTTAAATTGCATATCTTTTCGGATATATATATATATATTCGAAAAGAGCATACATATAAATACATATTAATTTGCTAATTAAAAGCTAATATAAACATAATTGTGCAGTAACGGATTACTGTAAATATAATGTGTTTTATAGAAAAATTAGAAAATAATGGCCAAATATATTCGCGTGTTAATTATGTTATAATTATATAAACTAAAATAATTGTTTAATACATCGCTAGTTTTAACTGTATGAGCTAAAAACTTGTTAAATATTCATTATTACTGTGTATTCATTATTACTGTTTCCTGAACTGTCTAGATTTAGCATTTAATATTTTCTTAAACATATATATGTTCTCCTCATTTCTTTATATAGTTTGATCTAGTTTAATTTATATAATCTGATATTTAATATTTGCAGAAAATAGAAATATTTCTTTATAACATTAGCAGTTGTTTAATTGTAAATGATGTCTTGACAAGAATACTGTAATATTATTTTCTTATGTATATATATATATAGCTACAGAATTTATAAATTTAGAAACAAGCTTCTTATTAGTATTCTTGAAGCATGATTCGTTAAAATTCCTTAATCTTTGATATTACATAACTTATTTGAGACCGTATTAAAAAATACTAATTGACTTCAAAACTCAAGTTACTTTATATTTCGCAGCAAATACACTTCGTGCAAAAATTTTCATCGTTCAGCCACGATGATATAGCACTTTGTTCATAGTACCATTCATATTCATACCTCAACGGTGAGTTTACCCGTTGCATCTATGTTTTGATTTAATGAATAAACGATACCCAACGGAATTATTGCAAATTTAGGTCAAAGTATCCACATTCGTTCATTCTATTACTATGTTTATATTGAGTTTGTATCGACGGTTATTGAATTGCACATATCGTGTGCAAATTACAACACACGATCGAAATTGTAAGCGATCCAGCACATAACATTCTTCATCAATAAAATATGCAATAATCAATTCATAGTCAATGCTTCACATGGAATTGATGATCAAAATCATTACTTTTTATCGATATATCTTAAAAAGTGCTAGTATTGACAGTCTATCACATTCAGAGCTTTATGATTATAAAGTTCGAACAAGCATATTAATATTACTACTGAGAAAAATTGTTTCAGAATTTACGTTCAACTGCGAAGCAATTGAAAGGAAGCACAAAAGGAAGTCTTTTATATCCATGCATAAATTAATAAAAATTGTCAAATAAAAATCGCACAGAAATAAAAAATTTCTATAATACTGCGTATATCTTTTATGGACATTTTTTCTTAGCGAGTAGAAATATCCTGCGTTATTCTTAAACAAAGTAAGGGTACTCACCATGTACATCAAGTTTAATATTAACGGAGAGTGGCTCCACGAGAGCAATACTGTTGACTTTACACGTGAATGTTGCATCTAACTCTTCCCGTGTAATTTGCATCTTGAGTAAACTACTGCCAGCGCCTATTCCGGTATCAGTGATGGTCGACAAACTCGTCGCTGAAATGGAACAGTTTATATTTCTTCACAAACACATCAAGAAAAACAATTCTAATTATGTTTTAAAATAATACAAGTCCACAAACGGAATGAATAAAGTATATTTCGAAATATTTGTAGTAAAAAAATTGCTATGTAGTATTTTTTGTACGCTAGTATTTTTTTATATATTACGTATATAAAATTAGCAATTAAATAAGAATAAAAAAATTCTTGATAGTACTATCATTGTTGGATAACTGATTAATGAAGGATATCAAAGATTCTTTTGTCTTTCAATATCCGCGTTGAATAATGGTTCAATGGTAATGAGCCTTCTACATTTTACGTTACGTGCAATTTTACTGGAAAGTGGACGTAAAATTATAAGTCTATAGCAACCATTTATCTTTAGTTAGAATATTCTGAATAAAATAAAATCGCATTCAGTGCAGTTATATTATCTTTTGTATTATTAAAGAGATGGAAACATCAAGTTGGCATTATAAGCTTACAAGTATTTATTACGCACTATATTTGCCATGGTCAATTTTTGACCGCAGATAAAGTGAGAAAATTGTCAATATAATGGTTAATAATTAATGTCAATAATAAATAATGCACATAAATTTATGGATAGATTTGACATACTATCCTATATTAGTTTCAATATAAACGCGATATATTGCAAATCTTACCTTCAAGTGGTTGGTCACCTTTAAACCACTCGACTGTAGGTATAGGTTTGCCTTTGCCACTCTCACAATACAAAGCTATCGTTGAACCCTCGTTGATAGGTCCTAAAGTAGCACCTGTGCTCAGTGTATTCTTCGAATTTTCATCAATGACACGTACAAACGCTGGTTGCACTAAACATACACAAATACATTTGTATTAAACACTGTTCCATTTAATAAAGTTACTTTTATTCGCTTTGACCATTTGGCCAAATTTTTATTATTACTGTTGAATATAATTTTTATATTAAAGAATAAGCTAAATTTTCTTTCATTCTGTTCGCCTGACCACGCGCCTTGCAACAAAAAAAAATTACGGTTCTTTTTAAAATGTATTATAATATATATAATATATAATAATTTAATGCACATAATTATAACATTTTTTGTTCTTGACAATTTTATCATCTTAAATACGTCTACACAATAAACCAATGCATTTTCTCTCCCCTCCCTCCTTCTTTCCTTTTTTCCTCTCTCTTTACATCCACTACTTCTTGTTCTCAAGAAATACATTCTTTAAATAAGCTCCTTGACAGAATAACATCTATTTTGTATTAGAAAATTTCTTAACAAAAATGTACATCGTATATTCTGTTATGCACAAAGATAGTATTCTGCGAAAAAACATCCACCGGTTTTACTTTGATGTTCAAGAAAATAACGAGAATGCTCCGCAAAAAAATACATCTATGATATCTCGGTATAAATAAAATGTATTTATAGATACACCCGGCTTTCGTCTAAAGTTATATGCAATTTAATCGCCCTATAAAATATTACAAACATCAACACCAAAACTTAATCTGCTGCGCGTTTCGCGTTTGTATACCATAAATAACAAAACCTCTAGTGTAAACGTGGGTTATATTGACATTTTCGAACGTTTTGTCTCACGCAAATCGATACAATTTATATTTGCTCTATATATCTTTCAGCTTGGGAAAATAGATACAAAAATCCCATTATATCTTACATGATACATCACCTAAATGTTATTTATCTCAATCAATCAGATCATTATCAATCAGATATAATAATTTCCTGAATTTCCTGCTTTTCTTGACTAGAATATTTTTCTTTATATAACAAGATGCAATGTATATGTTAATTACGTTTTTTTATAATAATAAATTTATTAATTTGAGTGGTTAATTAAAATATTATAATTTTTAATTTTTAAATGCTTTATTAAAAAAAATTGAGCTATCTAATTTTAGAAAATATAAACTATATTATTAAATAAATTAAATATTTTTTTATTTATGTAAACATTTATTAAAATCATTAGAAGAAGTCCACGTACAAATATTTCATTTACCATATGCAATTTGAGTCTTTACTCTTTATAGAATTCTAGATTTTGCGGTCGTAATTTCTTATGTAAATGCAGCCTTGTAAGTTTCACCGTAAACCCGTGCTTGAAATGGCCAGATAAAACCTGGGAATTCATCCGCCAACGCGGCTTCATTCAGAGAACTGAATGAAATACCGAATACAAATAAATTTTTAATATATACAAGTGCTATTGGGAGGAATGTGCGCTCATTTTGCAAGTAAAGTTGTAATAATATAATAAAAAGTGTAATTTCGCGATTTTTCTAACATAAACGCCTAACAATAACTCACGTAGGTATATTGCATTTTTTAATACCTGAATAGCAAATAACTTTTTCAATAAAATTTGTTTCACAATCTTACGAGCGACGCCTTCGGCAAAATCATAAATTTTTGGGGCCGCATATGCTGTCATGTAATTTTAATTTACCTTCGTGATTCTTCGAGAATCTCGAGAAAATTACATTTACAGATTGTTTATACAAAGTTATATACAAACTTTTTCGCGTGTTTCTACAATTATAAAACTTCTAAAACTATAAAACTGTCGATATGTATGATAAATTTGTGCTCTTTTGTATTGAAATTTGATGCCGATAGATTGCCATAATTCGTCGAGGTGTAATAATAAGTAATAATAAGCTGCCATCTTTTACAAAAACACTTTTTTGCAAAACACGAGCGACTTGTTATAAAGTCGACTAACGAATTCCAGATATTGATCGATATTTGACGAAACGTGATGCGTGCGGTTCGTTAAACAATTCGTTAACGAGTTCCCATACATAGCGTACACCCTTTATTTCCGACAAACAAAATATTCACTGCATTCAGAATTGGTAACAAATTGAATTTTGAATGACCTTCGTGCATAATACACATGCTTTATCACTGGAAAATAATATCTTGATGCTCACAATTTTAATCTATTCTAGTAGCTCGAAAAAGCTTGAAAATTTTATTACATTTATTATATTAAGAGTATGTGCAAAAGTTTCCATTGCTCATATATAGATAGATCGCTCCAAAAACAGAGATTTCTTTTATCACGGTATCTATTTTAGATTTAACATTAAAGCATTTATCAAATATTCATTGAAACCGAGTAGAAATTGAATATAATCTCGATTTCATTAATGTTTCTATGTTAAGAGTTTTGAAGCCGACTCGAGGCGTTTGGTGGAGTTGTTTACGTTGTCGCTTACCCTGCGCGCTTTACCCTCACTCTCTTTCTCTCTCACATTCTATGTATCCACACGCACATTCTTTACTACCCGCATTTCCTTCAAGTCGAAATCGGCGCGACTTTGTCCTTGATATATTTATTGCCCTCTGTTGTTCTTTTATTAGTCGCACGACGGCATTCGTACGAGGTAGATCGCGTTCCGTATCGACGCGTTATTCTTTTTAATAGTATCCCTACTACTTTCCTCCCTTTTCGTCTACCCTTATACTCTTCCGTATATCCTTCTCCGTCGTTACTTATTATGGACGCGACGAATATCGAACGGTATAATCCGTGCGATAATATTCGAATATTACTTTGTCCGAATGACAAAGTACGTGTCGAGAGTGCCGTTTAAAATCACGGGCGATTTTCGTATTCGCATCGCGAACGCGTGTGAGTGCTTTGGAGGACTGGGAGGAGAAGGAAGCTCAGGAAAAGCATCGGACACCGGCGGAACAACCTTAAAGTTAATAAGTTATTTGTTATATATTATTTGCAAGATATTGCATATAAAATATTATAATATGTAATGTGATGCACATAGAAAGGCTGCTAATATAAATGTATTATACTTATATGTTACAGATCAACTTGTAAACAACTCCGCTGCTGCGCATCGTACCGGTAAGTCAGTCAAATTTGTCTTATTTTAATATTATTAAAAGAATAAATTTAAAAACAATATAAAATATACAATAGCATCATCCCTTGATAGCAGATTTTTGAGATTATTTAATATATACATAAATTATGCTAACAAGTTTAAATTAAGAGTCTATAACGAGTCCTCATTCAATCAGCAGCACTGAGTAAATTCACGCTCTATATTCTCGAAGGCCACAATTTGCAGCCGTAGAAAAGATTCAATTGGATCGGTCATGAGACAAGTGGTCCTTCATAAAATTTGAATAGCATTCAAATGGCGCTTTCGGAACTGTATTCATCCTTACTCAATAAATTATCCGGTTAAATTACATAGAACAGATCACCGTTCGCACGAGAAATTAATGCCGTAATATGTCAAAGAAACGAATCTGTTATTGTAATAATGGATAGTATATCTTATCGGATTCGTTATATTTTTAGATTTGAGTATTATTTAACAATCTAAAACTTTCGTGAAACAATTTCTTTAATTTTTTTATTGTACAGGCTGTCTTAAATATACGTATAACAATTTAGAGAGTGAATATAAGGCCAAAAATCAGAAAAAAATGTTATATAAATACCTATAAGTTATCTAAGCTTCATTTTTCATAACAGATTTAAAAAAATGTGCCTATCTTCTTATTGAAATATATGATTATTCCGTGGCCGTCCATGATTATTTAATTTTACTGCTAAATCTATTGTGCTTCCGAAGGTTTATCAATATCAGAAAAAATTCTTCGAGTTGGAGGTAAAAAAAATCTTTGATACATACGACGAGCTTTACTGTCATTGCTGTTAATTCAGTCATATTAAATATGTATGAAAATTCAGCGAAAGAAAAGTACGTGTCTAACTGTTTTGCATGTTATCACTTCAAATAAAAGTAACAGATTGACATTCAGGTCAGATAAAAATAGTTCATCAAAAATTGATTAAAAATCCAATATTTTATTTAATTTTTAGCAGATAAAAATATTGTTTAGATGAATAAATAATATTGTTACAGCGACAGATGAATATCTTCTTTAATTTGTACTATAACTTAGTAAATAAAAAAAAGTCCCGACCTACATTCATATAACATTTTATTTTTGATTTTTACATTTATCCTCTGAAAAATGGTATATTTAAGACTTATCTTATATAATTGTCATATATAAAATGTCGCGGAAAACTACAGCAAATTTCTCTACAGAATAGAATAAATTTTTTTTATAATGAACTATACAAGTAGAATAATATAATCAAATAAAAACTGAAATGAGTTTTATGTTTTTAATAAACTTTTCTTCTTTGTTAATTATTTGACACGCGATGAGAAAAATATTAAAAAGTAGGTGGACTCGTGCAAATTTAATTAGTTTCTTGGATACGATAAAGATATAGAAGACACGCAAGTTGCTAAATTACAAAGAGCTGCATTAATCATTTTCCCGAAATTAAAGGAAATAAAGTTCGTTTGGCAAATGCCCAACGGCGCCGTGTAAATCTACCTACTGCCGCACGTATTGGAATCCGTCAACTATTCTACTCGTTGTAATCCTTTAATACGGAAAAAAAGTGTGCGACCACTTGTCGATTAAAAATGTACTACCGTTCCGGTCAATGCGAGAAAACGAGATTGGACGACAAGCGGTATGCAAACGAAAAAACGGCTGGAAACGAAAAACCTTCGTACTTTACATACACGAGGTCGAACTATTCTCGGCACGAATCGAATTCGGCAAGGAAATTGAAGTGAAATTTTTCTCCTGGTAAAGCAAGTTTTTATTCTTGATATTAAAATTTATGAAAATTCTGATAGCGGCGTGGTGAAGCGTTGCGTAAAATCGGTCTGATAATACGACAGTCGCCGAGAAAATTGTGCTATTATTACAAGTCGAAACGAGAAGTCGCTCGGTGTTCGCGGCATTAA